AGTCCATTTGTACATAATCACTTAAGCCAAAGCTGTTCTGACTCAATTCCTTCCCCATAGTGTGTTCAACTTCATAATCTAACTCTGAGAAGCAAGCATACTTTACTTTCCAAGTCTTCAGAGTTAATTGATCACAACGCCCCTTCAACCACCTACCCCCAAACCAAATAACGAGCAACACCCCATTCAGCCAGTTGACCTCACTTGCAGGTCATCCTTTCCCCTCTCCCAGCTGCTGCCTCCAGTTGGTGAAGACTAATTAATAAGCCATAAAACGGCCTTGCGATTTGGAAAGCGTCTTTGTTTTTGCCCAGATCTATCTGGGCAGGCTCAGGCCAGTTCACCACCAGGGTTCCTAATTAAAGGTTGAGAATAAATTGTTAAGCAAAGCTGGAGATTCAGAGCCAGACATTACAGCAGCCCTGTTAACAGGAAAAATCAACGCAAATTAAGATGCGGCTAGACAGAAACCAGAGAAACCTGCCATTGCATAAATTACGTGCATTAGAACCCAGAAACATGGGTGCTGGGAAGGTTCGCCAGCCACAGAAGCCCTGGAGAGACATAACATCGTCAACTTAAGGGTTTCCAGCTTTCATCTCCAAGGATTTAAAATAGATGATGCCACTTTCTGTGGCAGTTCCCTAAATTGCTATGTGACGGGAATCAAAACCATCTTCACCTCATTTGTCATTTCAAGGCTGGGAGGTGGAAATGGATTTTACAAGTCATTTGCTGTGGTCTTTGTGTGGATGGTGTACCCCGGATGGTACCCCATCAACTGGTTAACATCCTTGACTGAGAACTGAGAAGGTGGGCTATTCAAAGGCATCAAGAGGTCAGGGTAGAAGTGAGAATCAAGTGGGCGAAGTTGCATCTGTTGTGTTGATTCAAATATAGGTAACGGCCCAGTGGGAAAGGCCCTGGGTCACCCTTTGCAGGTCATCCCCATGGAGAGTAACACATTGGTCCTGGGACGTCATTTCTTCCTTCCCTCCCTGATCTGAACATTTCATTTCACAAAGTTGCCAGTCCACATTGACCATCGGATTGACTTTGTTTGTCATCATAGTAAGGAGCTCTGATGCACTGGTAAGCACTGAGCAAAAGGTTGGTGGTTTGAACTCACTCCGCTGCTCTGAGGAAGAAAGACCTGGCAATCTGTTCCCATAAAGAACACAGCCAAGGAAACCCTATGGGCAGCTCTACTCTGTAGCCCATGGAGTCACTATGAGCTGCGATCCAATTGGCCACGGACAACAACGTAAAAACAATAAGAAAAATAACAAACCCCAGCATTTATCATTTGCCTGCTGTGACCACTTTGATTCAGATCACCATGGGTACACTATACTAGCAATGACAAATGGAAGAGATATGGTGTAGCAATCATTGTCAAAAAGAGCATTTCAAGATCCATCTTGAAGTATAACACTGTCTGTGATGGGAGAATATCCTGCCCACAAGGAAGACCAGACACCTGGTGTGGCCCTCCCTGCAGGATCAGCACTGGACTGCTAACCACAAGGTGGATGGTTCAAACTCACCAGCCACTCCTCAGAAACACTATACAGAATCATTGTGAGTCAGAATCAACCCCACAGCACTTAACCAACCAACCGTGGAGACCTGGTATGATACTGTACGATAAGCACTAGGCTGCTAACCACAAGATCAGGGTTCAAACCCACCAGCCTCTCCTAAGAAACCCTATACAGGGTCGCTAGGAGTTGGAACAAACTCGACAGCACTTAACAACAACATGTGCTAGAAAGCATTGGTTGTTCAGTGGTAGAATGCCAGTCTTTCATCTGGGTGTCCTGGGTTTGATTCCCAGCTAATGCTCCCTCCCCCAGCCCCCCAGTAGTCATCACCTGATAGTGGAGACCCGGGTGCAGCTATGATGCTGAATGGGTCTCAGAAGAGCTTCCGGAATGGGGAGAAAAGCCTGTCAGTCTACTTGTGAAAATCAGCCAATGAACACGCTGTGGATCTGCAACCGAGTATGGGGCTAATGCAGAACTGGACAAGGGCTAATGCAGAACTGGACAGGGGCTAGTGCAGAACTGGGCAGGGGCTAGTACAGAACTGGACAGGGGCTAGTGCAGAACTGGGCAGGGTCTAGTGCAGAACTGGGCAGGGGCTAATGCAGAACTGGACAGGGGCTAGTGCAGAACTGGACAGGGGCTA